TGCCCGTCAAGGATGCATATGATGGGACTTTTATCGACGGGCTATTCTTGACAGCCCCCGTCAAGGATACACACTTTTGACGGGAAAATGTGCATTCTTGACGGGAATACCCGTCAAGGATGTCCAAAATTCTACTAGTGTTAGTCATAACATATGACTTACGTCAAAAATGGTTGCCAGTCACGATTGCAATTTAATCGCAACTGACCCAAATTTGTTAAAATTTTAACTTATTACTTTTTTTTTTTAAATTCATTAAAGATTTATAATAATCTATTTAAAATTTATTACAATAATAATTTCTTATAAAAAATTTTAAATAAAGTTATTTAGAATTATTTTTCCTAAAAAATGTTTTTTTGAAAGTAATATCTTAAAAATATATCTTTATAAGATTATTTTTTTAAAACAATAATTTTTAAAATATAATTATTAGAAAAATATTATTATTCTGGAAAAATAAAAATATAATTCTTTTCAAAAATTTTATTTTTCATAAAATATTATTTTTCCATAAAATAATATTTTAAAAAGTGTTATTCCAAAGATATAGATTTTGAAAAAATATTATATTTTTGAAATATAGTTTTTATAATAATATATTTTAAATAATATGACATTTTTAAATTCAAAAATAATATATTATTTTAAAAATAATATATAAAATTTTCAAATAATATACTATGTTTAAATATTTTCCTAAAAAATATTATTCTTAGAAAATATAATTATTTGAAAATATAATACTTCTTAAAACTATTTTTGAATAAATATCATTTTTTTGAAAAATTCTTGAAAAAACTAACTTTAAAAAATAAATTATTTTTTGAAAAAATATATTGAAAAGTATTATTTTTTTGAAAAATAAACTTTTCCTTGAATACTACTATACTTTGTTTAAAATATTATTTTCTAAAATTTTAAATAATATTTTTTTTAAATATATTTATTTCAAAAAAATATGAGAGCATTTTCAAATTTCTAAAAGTGAAGCTCACCCAGACCAAAAGGGGTCTTCTTTTAAATAAGGGTTAATTGAGGATAGACCCCCCCTACACTATGCCCCATTGGAGATAGACGTCTGTAGCCCTATTAATTGATTGGAATACTACAGCCCAACATTTTCGGATAGACACCTAACGAAAATTTTTTTGACTCGTTTAACCTCAAGAGGTCTATTTGTCAAAAAAACAAATTTCCTCTTTGCTGATGTAAAGGAGTCCAAAAAAAAAAGGCC